TTCCTCGGTTTCGAAACACTTTAAGCTCTCCTAGGGGCAAGGCTACGCTGCGGGGTACACCGGTTTTTGAGAGTTCAGTAAGCACCCAGGTACAGTACAAGTAAGATGGGTACGCCGCATTTTTGAGTACGGTAGGCGCAAAACGTACGTAAGTGAAGACTTCTGCCCGCTAATTACGACGTGAAGGGACGCTATGGAGTAACCCTTGCATTCCAGCTTTTCACGCATGTCAAGTGACTGCCCTCACCCCCCCCACCCCCTAGATTGGCTACACTCCCCCTGGCTCACGAATTCCCTCAATTCTCGTGACACCATAGTAGCGGGCAGCAGTCCCCACTCACATACATTTCGTGCCTACCGTATTCAGAAAATACGCCGTCCCACTTGTATTGCACCGGCACGCATTCTTGACAGATATTATCTCCCCATCTCCCACTTTCTGCCTGCGAGCCTGCTGGGAGAGGGAGAAAGTTTGAGGGAAAGAAAAGTTGCTCATTCACTCCGGACCTTCTCCCTTCCCCCTACCCCCTATAAGGTCAGTCGTATTGATTCTCATTGCGGCATGGAGCACCTACCGCATTTGAAATATCTCCCTTTGGGAAGGCCATGCATTCCTTTCCCATTCAGGATTAGAAAATAATTTAGAGCTTTTATGCCATCTGACCCTTAGAAGCGATTATGCTAACCCAGTCGGAGTATAAGTCAATGGCTACGTCCTAACAGTGGAAATAGTCCGGAAACTCCTTTCCCTAAGAATAGATCCTTACAATCCCTCTACGTCCTTGTCGAGGCAAAACTGGGTGCAACTGAAACCACGAGGCAATATGATTGCCTGTCTTCCCTCTACAATAACCTCTTCGAAGTACTAATTTAGCTGAGACGTTCCAAAGTTTCGGTGAACAGGCTGTTTTTAGGGATGGAAAGCGTCCGGACTGACACTGTCCACTCCGTCCAATGAGTGCGCCAAGCTGTTTGACGGTGCTCTTCGACAGATCGTCTCATGGTCAGATTGTGAAGTACTTGGAGGCTTTATCAAGACACTGGACGACATGAAAGCTGCTGATCCCAAAGCAGGTATCCATATTATTTCAGACAGTTAGTAGAGGAGATCGTCACATTGGTTCTGGTATCCGATCATTTAAAAACATGAATCAGCTGTTTTCCTGTTCAATTTTTGCCTTTACCGACCATGTCGTTGCGGTTAGGAAGAGCAGCCCAGAAAAAAAACTCGTATAACTTCGTATAATGTATGCTATTTCCTTTGGCTCATCTCCCTCCCTCAACCAACCGATATTAGTACCGAACTCCTTCCTTCTCTCAATCACCCTCCTCTAACCCCCTGTTTCCCCCGAATTTAGTAATAGCCGCTGTCAGATTGTACTGGTTTGATCTCAGCAATTAACCCTTCCATGAGATAGCCGGCGGAGCTACCTTTCAGCCCAAAGTGCTAGCATTTAATTTGAGGCTAGTGGTTCTCGTCTGCAATCGTAAAGTAATATTTATTTATTTATTTTATTGCAGACTTTTTATTGCATGCATTTTATTTATTTTATTTAGCGCCGATGTTTCAACTTGGAATTAGCATCGCAACTAGCGAATCGCTAGCAGCGAATAGCTCGCAATGTCGGCTATGCCTAGATTTCCTCTATGTGCACGCTCGCGACACTTCGTCAATCAATTTTTTCGCGTTCTTATTGCCTGCATCTTTTTCAGCATCAAAATCCTCAATAATTTTAACCCTTTCGAGACCGCGCGCGTTTTTCGACCACCAATCGTTCGGACCAGCGCCATTTGAGACGATCGCAAAGTTTCAGCCACTGGTGGGTGACGTTACCTCTAACGACCGTATTTCGCAATGGGGTGAAGTTGTAAAATAGGTAATTTCGCTGAAACTTTCCCCGATGGATTATTATAGCCATGGTCGACGAATAATATTACTTACACTTATTTTTAGCATGTGCGCCTCTGATTCGCTAACGTCTGCGGCCGCAGTGCGGTACTAGCCAATCGAGCGACTCGCTGACTGCGACGCGACCCTGACGCTAGCGGCATCGCCCTCGATTCGCAAAAGGTCTGGCATCACCTTCACACGACATCCGTTTTCCATGTTCGCCTAACTGATTGTAGGGAACTTGGCTTACAGGTTTATAAGTAATTCCTTGATCAATGAATTTCATCTTCGTTTTGTCGCTAAAAAGCCTAGTTGCTACAGTCGATGTTTCAGGGCAAAATCCAAGTGTAACAAACAACTTGCTATTAAGCCAATTTCTAGTGGTGGAATTGATTCTTCAATAAAATTGAAGTTAACAAATATCTCCGCTGCCCACATTAGGCGCAAATTCGTCTCTTTATGAGAATTCCTTTCATCAAAAAAAGACATTCTAAAACAGAAACTGTTCAAAAATTTCATTTAAAGCCCGTCAGCCACCAGTGGCTGACATTGTCCGAGTGGGCATCCTCTGTCAGCCAATGGTGGCTGAACTTTTCGCGAATTGGCTAGCACGCCAGACAACATTACTCAGCGACAAGGAGTTAGTATCAAGTTGTTTTTCGTACAGTGGTCATATCAACTGATACGAGCTGATTTCCAGTACTTCCACGAGCGTTTCGACTCGGTCTGGAAGGTCTTGGTACTGGCACATGTACTCGCGTCAACGAGACCTACAAAACGAATCTCGACCAGGTATACGCTGATGCTCAAGCTTACGGTAACCCAAGAGAACTGAAACATGCCAGAGCAGTCCGACTGTGGGGCCAAGGGTGAGTAAACTCCTTAGCTTACTGTAGTTTTCGTGTTTGATTTACTTGGAGTTTTAGAAAGATGAAGGATGCCACAAATATCTGGGAAGAGATTCTCACCGAATATCCGACTGATTTAATGGCAATCAAATTCGCCCATGATGCGTACTTTTTTATGGGCGACGGCAAAGGAAAACGTGATTCGGTCAAAGCTGTGATACCGAAACAGAAGGGAACCGAACCGTGCTACAGGTAGCTTCTAGAACTATTCAACTAACAAAGCTGTGGCGAAATAAGACTGTAGCTGAGGCTCTGCTTGTACCTTGCGTCGAAATAAATGACCGCAAAATCTGTGGTTCCGCCTTCTACGGGTGCTAGAGAGCTTTAACGAAAAGGGTGAGATAGCCTCTTTGATAGGTCTAGGAAATCGGACTTGTTGGAAAAGGTACGCATCGGTAGTTCTCCGACGCAGACACAGCTGAGTCGCTGACACATCATTCGATCCTCTGGTGCATAGTTCGATTCGCTCGTACATAGTTCGATCTGCTTGTGCAGGCGATTCGCGTGCAAATCGGTGGATTCGCAAAGTTTGACACCAGCCTTATAGCTTTTCCGATGGTGCTCATCCATTCGTACTTT